CTTTAGCCAGCTGCCTGTGCATCTTAGCAACTATGTTTTGTGTCTGCTAACAGTTTGACTGGGAGACTTGTGCTATGTCTACAAAACTCTACCGTGAAGCACTTCAAAATACTTGCTGAATAATTTGAGGTCAGCTAGCAATAAAGCTTTGTGTGAAAGGCCACTAAAAAAATCTATTAACCGTGGTTCCAGTATATTCAAGTCAAGCTGTTAAAATACACTCATATAAACATAGAAAAGATTATACATACACTGTATAGAGTTGTGTGGTTTAACTCTTGAAATCTAAATAAAAGTTATATTACTCTTAGAATAAAATTCTAAAATACAGCAGTCTTTTATAAGGACTCACCCAAGAGGTGGGAACGTTAATTACTCCAATAGGGTGCACTGTTAGTACAACGAAGAGCAGATCACAATTTTGGAATGATATACCTGCTTTTACAATATCACAGGTGTCCCCCTCTCCCCTGCCACACCCTACAAAGAAACTTTGCTAGTTTGCAATAGCTATAGCTCTTGCAGCTTTCGGATAATGTGTGTGGTGGGTGGAAGGGATGGTGATAAAATAGGGGGATGAAGAAGTAATTTCAGCAGCTGAATAAACAAAGGGGACTAAATAGGATTAGGGGATAGATGTAAGGTGGCAATGACAGGAGACCAGTGGCAGAAAGAATTCACCTGTCTCCACTAGACAGATTTCATAATTTTAAAATTCTAAAAGTATGAGAACAAATTGGCTATACTGAGATAATAATATGTAAATTGATCTGTAGAGAATTGGCAGAAAAAAATTAACTTCAAAACCCTAGGCCAGTGGTCGGCAAACTGCTGCTGGGCAAACCGTGGCTCTCGAACCACATGTGGCTCTTTGGCCCCTTCAGTGTGGCTCTTCCACAAAATACCGACTTCTGCGCATGGGCCATGAAGTTTCAATTGCACTGTACATGCACACCCACACGTGGTATTTTGTGGAAGAGCCACACTGAAGGGGCCAAAGAGCCGCATGTGGCTTGCGAGCCGCAGTTTGCCGACCACGGCCCTAGGCAATCAACATTTCCCGGACCCTCAAACCGATATTAAGAAATCCAATGGAACCATTTGGAAGTTGACAAAATGTACTGAAATCATGAATACTTGTTGCTTAATTGTGAGAATATTCCTTTAAGAAGAAGGACACAAAATAATTTCAACTCTCATTTTACCTCTTTGTTTTATTTAAGAATTTCTAAATGGAACATTTTTGTAACATATCAACTGAGCACTTTTTAAAATAAATCTTTTCTCTTCAATCACTATTATGATGTGCTGATACTTCTTCGGTCATTGCCAGCTTCATGGTAGAGTGAGAAGAATAAAAGAGCTTAAAATGATTCAGTGTTTTCTACTATTGTAAAGGCAAGTGAGATCCAATACTTTGGAAGCAGATGGAAAAAGACATTATAATTTAAATGTAATGTTTGCAGCATTTGCAATAGGTACACTCAAACGTTTCCTTTTAAAATAGGGTGAAAAGAGTTTCTCTAACCTATTGGCAAGAGCATTTGTTCCTGAGAGAGCAGAGAGGGAGAGAGTTGGAAGATACTTGGACGATACCTTGGAAGTCTTAGGTCTCTATAACGTTGGTAGGCAAGTGTCTGCTATACCATCTGGTAGATAAGAGGTACTCAATAAATTTTGTGCAATCAATGGGCTCCTGAAGAGATAATACAATTGGGTGGCATGCATGGTTTTGGTAGTGAATTAAAATTCATGTGCAAAACCAGTATGAAGCTGAGTGTGTTTATGAACAAGATGCAATGTTTATATTGCTGTGATTGAAATATTGTGATATTTATTTAGATTAGGAAATGGAATATACTGCACCTAACAGTTGAGTCTTTGGTGAAATATTCTGAATATGATGGGTTAACATGTTAGGGGAAATCTTTATAGTTTTATGAATAGTAAGAAATGTTAGGATTCATTATCCAAGTGGAATATGGACTCAAGGAATGTTATACTTTGTTCATTGGAACTAAAACTAGAGAATGTAAAGTGAATGCCAGGGTCTTTATTTAATTGAATTAATAAGAGTTGATAGCCAATCAAATTATTATATAAGGTGTTTATTCTCAATTAGAGTTCTTCTAGAAAAACACTTTGTTTTTAAGTTATTCATTCTTTGGTAAAACATTTAGGCAAACATCGTAATGTGTCAGTTTCTTTGACAAGTTGACATTTGACACACTGGCAACCTTAGTATCTTCTCTCTGCTTTTCTCCACTCTACTTATTTTTAGAGCTACCAACATCATAGTTGATGGAACCTCCTCTATAATTATTCACCAAGACGTTCATGGTATATGTTTATGTGTTTTGTTTTCTTAGATATTATTTTTAAACCTAAGGAATTTATTTAGAAACCCATATAAATTCTGTAATAAGTTTCTATAATAAATTCTATAATGAGTTTTCCTATTCCTGGCCCAAGAGTTTATAAATAAATAATATTGAACAATTATTTCCTTATTGATCCTTGCATTTGGCTGGAGTAGCTTGGCTGGTTAGTTTTATCTCCTTAATTGATAAAAAAAAGTACAGAATGTGGTGGGGATTCTTTGTATTCTTGACACAGACGCATGTTTCTTATTTAAAATTCTTTCTGTATTCAAATGAAAGTTACTGTTTGAATTTATTGCCTGTGGTGTGATACTTAATGCGAATTCTAGCTTTATTTATACCTAAATAAAGATATAAACATGAAGACAGGCATGTTTTTGAGGCTCCAGTTAAATCTATAAAGTACAAAATAATGTAATTCAACTATGTTCAAATAGTATTAGCAGTGAGAGACTACTTAATTTGATGATTAAATAAAATTATTGATGTGATATTTCAAGAGATTAATTTCTACAAAAGGCATTTAAAATGTATTGTCTCTCACACGTGTGCATATTACTTTCTCATTCTGTTTTTCATAGTGAAAAGGTAGGCTTTACCACAAATCATTTAAAGTGTTATTACTTGAAAATTTTATTGTGTCCTCTTTTAAAACATATACATATGAGGCACTATGAGATCACTGTAACATTAGTGACGAAATATTGAATGATCTTACTCATTTAATTATGCTTTTTGGAAAAAGGTAAGACATTTAGTTATTTTCTTGTTTGGCAGTGAAGAGTAGTTGCAACACCTATGGCAGAAACCATCAGTATTCCTTTTATATTTTTATTATATACTAGCGTTATGCAATGACTTCACTTCTGTGGATGAAATGTTTTTTCGTTTATTTGAATATCCATAAGCCTTCATTTATATAGTTGAAAGGCTGGATGTATGGTGTGGAATGGGATTGAGATATAAGAAATGAACTGTAGAACTGTAATATGTGACAGTTAATGAGGAAGGATGTGTAATTGGTGTAAGAGTAAGACAAACCTACACAATAGTATTTTATGGAGGTAATACAGTGAAGATGGGATACAGAGAAGTATTCTTTTTGCTTTTATTAGAGTGAAAGGGATAAATGTAAATATAGTAGATGTCTTCTAGTTACATAAAGGTCTTCTGCTTTTTTTTTTTTTTTAACAAACCATAGTTAAAAACAGAAGAAATTTTGTAGAGTTTTTATTGATAGTTCATACATGTCTGTGTTTATGTTGATGTGTAAAGAATATAAGCAGTACCGGTTCCCTCTCAATTGGGCTTTTCTTTTCTGACTGTCAGTAAATGCTAGATGTCGATCTTTCATATGTAGAAGGGAGCAGCGTCTTACAACAGGAACAATCTCATTACCGATGGGGAAAGGTCTGGCTCCATCATCATTTTTCCCCTTGTAAGCTTCTCAGGTTCAGATTGCGCATTTGTGACATGGATCAGGGCTAGGCTGAAAATAATTTTGTGACAGTATTTCTGGAGGTTGGAAGTGAGACTGTGCAATCCTTGCTTTACTCTGTCTTCTTCATGGGACAGTGCACCCATGGGCACCTTTGCACGTGGCTGTGATGCTAGGAGAAGGGCAGAAGTAGGGACAGGACCCTTTCCCAGGATAACTAAATTCCACTCTAATGAGAGTGAGGGCCCAGAATTTCCTCCTTCCTGGTGCCCAGACAAGGACCTTTGCTGGTATATTTCTGGAGGCAGGAAAGTCAATCAGGATGGGCAGTTTGTGCCCTGTGGCAATTTGTGATCTAATGAATGTTCTAAGGGCATCTGTTATTAAAATATGCAAGTTCAGTTCAGATGTTTAGATGTGACTCTTAAACTTCCTTTGGAGGAAATGTTTTAAAAAGAGCTATAATCGACCCATTATCCATCATGTCATGAGGGCTAAAGGTGTAAATGTGGGACAGCTCTTCCTCTCTTGTGCTTTGGGAACAATCTGTGCATCACACAGAGGCCCATCCAAGCTTTCTGCCCTTGTGTTGGGGAGGTGGCTGCAGCGTAGGCAGCTAAGGCTAGTTTCACTTGCTGCGGGAGGGGTGACCACCACTGTGAAAGGGCTAGAAAGAAACCTCACCTCCACTGTTCTAAAAAGTCTTCTTTAAGACAAATCATGACAAGAGGCCAGAAGCAATCTCTTCTCATTTCCTTATTGAGTAAGAGTGTCTGTGCATCCCTTTACATGAAGGACAATAACCAATTACTTTTTCTGTATGATTTGGTGAAATTTTTCATTTTCTTTTTCAGTTCATACAAAGATGAATTCCCACGTCACAATTACAATGTATATATGTGCTTTCTTGTCTCATTTTATGACGCTGCTTTGTTAAACGTGTTAAAGAGTTTTCATGCCCTGTTTCTATCATCTTAAATTGGATTTATTTTCCCATTGTTAATGTAAAACAGAAAATTGGAAGACTGATAATTATGTGTAGAAGGATGATTGTACTTAATGTGAAAAGATTTGAATCCTCCCTTGTGTGTGAGTGACTGCCAGCCTTGCTATCAGTTTCTTCTGTCCTACGCTGCCAACTGTTCTATTTAAGTATTGTGAAAACTCTTTGTTTTTTTCAGGTCGAATGAGTGATTTGAGTGTAATTGGTCATCCAATAGATTCAGAATCTAAAGAAGATGAACCTTGTAGTGAAGAAACAGATTCAGAGCACGACCTAATTGCTGCCATTTTACCTGAGTTAATTGACATAGATATATACCACAGTGAGGAAGACGAGGAGGAAGACGAAGACTGTGCAAATGCTACTGACGTCACGACCACCCCATCAGTGCAGTACATAAATGGGAAACACCTGGTCACCACTGTGCCCAAGGACCCAGAGGCGGCAGAAGCTAGGCGTGGCCAGTTTGAAAGTGTTGCACCTTCTCAGAATTTTTCAGACAGCAGTGAGAGTGACACCCCTGAGTTCCCCATGTCTGAAACGGAATCATCTATGGCTGTGCAACCAAGTGAATCTAACGAAACGACGGAATCGCTTGAAATGACATGGAAGCCTGAGACTTACCCTGAAACCCCAGAACATTTTTCAAGTGGTGAGCCTGATATTTTCCCCACAGTCCCATCACACAAAGGCCGAGCCGCAGAGGGACCAGAATCAGTCTCGGATAAAGGGCCTGAGCCTGCGCGTGATAGTCTGGTGCTTGAACATACGGAACCTGTACCCCTCTCTCCTGAAGAGTCTTCAGGAGATGCTGACATCAACCAAGAATCCCCAGAAATGATCTTTTCAAGGACCACGGAAGTAACACTTGGTGAAGAGGCAGAAAAAAGTACTTCTGTCACCTCTACTCCAAGTACAGTTCCAAGTTCTGTGTCAGCAAATGTGTTGGAGGAAGTGTCAGTCACATTGACAGGAACCCCCAGGCCTGCTGACCCATTGGCCACTGTGGAGAACTGGGTGGGAATAACACCTGGACAAATTGTAGAGCTCTCTGGGAATTCTTCAATTCTGATTCCAGAAGGCTCTGGGGAAGAAGAAGATAAAGATCAAATGTTCACCGTGGTAACCCGTTCATCACAGAGAAATAATACCGATACACTGGTTACTTTAGACACTGGCAAGATAATGATCACAGACAACCTTTTTGATGTTCCTGCAACTGCTGTTTCCTTGGTTTCTGAACAACCTTCTACAGAAATAGTGCCCACAAAATTTGTAGAGGAAACAGACACGTTTGAATGGGCTTTCAGTCCGTCTCTTGAGGGAAAGCAAAGGGAAGGTGAGGAGAAGGGAACTACAGCTTCTACAGTTCAGCTCCATATGCCTACACAGAGATCAGACCAGTTAATTTTATCCTCTGCGGTAGAAAACTCAAATGAAGCTACAGCTAGTGATTCAGCATCTGCTACCAGGAACAGTGTTATGTCCTTAACAACATCCACACAGGCTGAAAGGGAAATGACAAGTTCTAATCCTTTCTTTCCGGAGACAGATGTTTTAGACAATCTGGGGCCACAGACCACCAAGCCCAGCAGTAGCAGTCAACCTGGAGTTCAGGAAGGGCCGGCCACTGTGCCAGGTAGCCCTGTCTCTCTCTCTACGGAGCAGGGCTCAAGAGAAGCTGCCACTGACCCAGCAACCACCGCTGTTTCTTCATTTTCATTAAAAGTAGAGTCTGAAATTCAAATTAAAAAGGAAATAGCTAGTACTATGTCTCCCCGTGTGGAAACCATATTCCCCTTTGAGCCACCAGGACTAGATTTGAGTAATGTAATGGACAGAGAGGTTACTGAAGTTATAAGCCAAACATCCAAGGAAAGCCTTATATCAGAGGCGTCAGTAGAATCAAATCACGGGACAGAAATAAAGGGCTTCTCTACAGATTTTCCTTTGGAGGAGGATTTCAGTGGTGACTTCAGAGAATACTCAACAGTATCTAAAATCGTAACGAAAGAAGAAACAGTAATGATGGAAGGCTCTGGGGATGCAGCATTTAAAGCCACCCAGATTTCACCATTGTTAATCCCTACTTCAGGCCACATCAATCACACAGCTGGCTCGGAAGGACCTGGTAGCACCTTTGTCAGCATGTCAGCCTTCCCTTGGGAAGAGTTCACAGCCTCAGGTGAGGGCTCAGGTGGGCAAGTGGTCTCAGTCAGCAGCTCTGCTGACCAAGTGTTTCCCAGTGCTGTGGGAAATGTTTTTGGTACAGAATCTCCATTTATTGACCAAGTATTGGGAGAAGAAGGCACTATCCAAGAAGCTGATAAGAGAACCACCAGTTTACCAAGAGCAGAAGCTGAAGGTACTGAACCTCCAACAGAAAAGGGGGACGTGAAGGTCGATGGCACAGTTTCAGTGGACTTTTCCCAGACGATAGAGCCAACCAAACTGTGGTCCAGCCAAGGAGTCAATGCTGTAGGACAAGAAATTGAAATCAAAACAGCATCAGAGGAAAAGATTCAAGAACAAAAATCTGTTGAATCCCCCCAAAGCTCTGTTGCACCAGAACAAACAATTTTTTATGAAACTGGATTTCAAACCACAGGTTCCTCTATACTAGCAACAGAGAAAATGTATGGTGCTGATGAGGAAATGGGAAAGGGAGGCATTTCCTTAGTTGACATGTCTACTCCAGATCCAGGAGCAAAGGGTTTGGAACCCTACACTACTCTCCCCGAAGTTACTGAAAAATCCCATTTTTTCCTGGCTACTACCTCAGTGACTGAATCGATACTAGCTGGAAGTATAGTTACAGATTCATCAATCAAAGAGGAAGAAAATATAAAACCCTTCCCCAAAGTTATGAAGCCAATAATTAAAGAGTCAGATACTAATTTATTCTCTGGCCTGGGATCAGGAGAAGAAGTTTTGCCTACCACAGTGTCAGTGAATTTTACTGAAACGGAACAAATCATTAGCACATTATATCCCAAGACTTCTCAAGTGGACAGCTTAGAAACTAGCATCTCTAGTGATACCACTGAAGACTATGAGGGAATGGAAAATGTGGCAAATGAAGTTGGACCACTCATTTCTAAAACAGACAGCACCGCTGAACATAGTGAGACAGCATCCAGCACAACTTTACTAGAAATTTTAAGTGACACCAGGACAGAAGGACCGTCTTTAGCAACTCTCACTTTCTCCACAGACACTGAACAGCCTCAAAATCAGACTCAGAGTTGGGAAGAAGAAACTCAGAGTAGTCAACCACAACCTACCACTGAGCAAGTCTCTAACAAGAATTCTTCAGTAGCAGAAACTAAAGAAGCAGCAACTTCTTCTACTGACTTTCTGGCTAGAACTTCTGGTATTGGAATGGTCAAAGGATCTGTTACATCTACAACAAAACCATCTGCCTTGTTTCATGAATATTCCGGAGAAGGATCTGGGGAACTGGATGTAGTTGATTTAGTCCACGCTTCTGGAACGACTCAGGCAACCAGAAAAGGAAGCACCACATTTGTTCCTAATAGGCCCCTGGAGAAACATCCTGAGGATCCAAGTGCTAAAAGCTTTACTGTTGACGGGTTCCCAACAGTTTCAATGGTGCCACCTCTTCATCTAGAGCCGAATGAAAGCTCCCCAGATCCAACTATCACAGTGTCCAACACAGTGTCATATAAGAGGTCCACCGAGGGTGCAGATAGTTTCCACCACCACTTGGGGGGATTTGAGGATTCCACCTTAAAACCTGACAGAAAAAAAGCCACTGAAAATATTATTATAGATCTGGACAAAGAGGACAAGGATTTGTTATTGACAATTACAGAGAGTACCATACTTGAAATTCTACCTGAGCTGACATCAGATAAAAATACTATCATAGATATTGATCACACTAAACCCATGTATGAAGACATCCTTGGAATGCAAACAGACATAGACCCAGAGACACCGCCAGGACCACAGGTCAATAATGAAGACAGCGCTCAAATTCAAGAGAAGCATGAGGCAGCTTCCAACCTTTCCTTAACTGGGGAATACTTTGAAGGTTCTGGTGATGCTCTTCTGGCTGGCTACACTCAGGCCGCACATAACAAATCCATGACTTCTGAAGACAGAAGCCAGTTCAATCACATGGGCTTTATCTTCACAACTGGGATCCCCATCCCAAGCACAGAAACGGAATTAGATATTTTTCTTCCCACAGCAACATCTCTGCCCACTCCTAGTAAGTCTGCCACAGTTCACCCAAATATCGAAGAACCAAAAACTGAAGCCAAAGCCCTGGAAGACATCTTTGAATCAAGCACTTTGTCTGATGGTCAAGCTATTGCAGACCAAAGTGAAGTAATATCAACATTGGGTCATTTGGAAAAGACACAGGAAGAGTATGAGGAAAAGAAATATGTTGGCCCTTCTTTTCAGCCAGAATCCTCTTCAGGAGCTGGGGAGGCACTAATAGATTCTACACTAATAGATTCTACACCCCATGTAAGTACTGGTACTGTCCATCTTACGGCTCAGAGTTTAACAGAAGTACCTCATGTGATGGAAGGATCGAATCCCCCAGATTACACGGATACAACATCACCGGTTTTGGCCTTTGTGGAGCTGTCTCCTGAGACATCGTCTCCGTTCACTGTGCCTTTAGGCAGTGGAGCGTCTGACCACACAGACAGCCTTCAGCCAAGTGCTCTGCCTGGTGTAGATGCTGGCACATCTCAAACGTCCCCAGGAAAATCTGCAAATATTGAGGTGACTTTCCAACCATCAAGTGAAGAGTACATTCACATAACTGGGCCTCCATTCTTACCTCCTGACACAGAGTCAGAATCTTCAGAAGATGAAACTAAACCTAACTTTTTAGAACAAATGGAAGCTTTTCCCACAGAATTAATTGTTGAAGAAGGATCTGAGATTCTCCAAGATTCCCCAAACAAAACCAATGTTCAACTTTCTGGAGAAACAACCAAAGTATTTTCTAGTATGAGAACCTCTGAGGTTGAAACCCTTGTCACAGCTGCAGGTGAAATTAAGTCAGAAGGTGCTACACTGGGGCCACACCCAAGTTCCGCTTCTGCAACCGCTGGGACTGGGGCAGGTGTGGTGCCTCAGCCCAGCCCACAGACTTCTGAGAAGCCCACAGTTCCTTCCCTGGAAATAAACTCTGAAACGCAGGCAGCTTTGACCAGAGGGCAGGATTCCACAGTGGCAGCATGGGGACAGCAAGTGTCAGCAAGAATTCTTGATTCCAATAATCAGGCAACAGTGCGCACTGCGGAGTTAAAGACTTCACTTCCAACACCACCACTTTACCTTCTGGAAACTTCTAATGAAACCGGCTTCCTGATTGACATGAATGAAGAGTCAGTGGAAGGCACAGCAGTCTATTTACCAGGTAAGGTCACGACATTGATAAATCTGTTTCCAAGTGTGGAAACAGTCCCTTGGTCCTAACATATGTATATCTGTATAATTTTTATTGTGCTATTAAATCAGTGGAGATTTCTCTATTATTCACATAACAGTAGATCAGCACACAGTATTGAGTCCATAATGAGAGGCAAAGGAAGCAAGTATAGATCATTTCCGAGCTTTATAGATGTTCCTTTTATTTTTCTGGGTTTCAGAAACAATGTATAATTGCACCATGGAAAAATTGCATGTTAGTGATGTAAAAATTCATTGTCGTTTTACTCACAAGTATTGTTTTGTCATATGTACCATAGTCACACATCTTAGTTTTAAACACAGAAAACAAATATATTCTTAAAAAATCTCTTATTGATAAGTGCTATTATGATAATATCAAAATTTGTCAGGCCTTTAAAATTTGACAGTAGTAAATAGCTCTAATAAACATTTCACATAGTTTGGGCAATATCAGTTATCCATTTATACTTTTATTCAATTTTCTTGCTTCAGGTAGTCCACACAATGCTTCTAACTCAGTGGGTATTCATTTAGCGTTTATTCGAGCTCTGTCAGACAAGAGAGGATTTCTGTTTTTTTACTGAATGATCAGGAAGCATGAATTTTATGCTAGGTCATATAGACTATCTCATTTGATCTTCACGAAAAGGCTATACAGCATGTACAGCTCTCCCTGTTTTTAAGAGAGGTTCTGTAATTTGCTAAGGGTTGCACAGCCACACACATTATGGAAAAGTGGGATTTGAACTGAGATCAGCCCTACTCAAAGTCCATGGTCTTTTCACTGTTCTTAGCTGGTTTCCTATTATTATAGCACACAAGTGGATAATTGATAGTTAATTATATGTAAACCAGAAATCTTATTCATTTTGTAGAACTTATTTTCATTTTACTCTAGCCTAATAATGTTGAGAAGTCTGCTGCAATGGTGTTTTCTGGAACATCATTTGAATAATATTTTCAATGGAATCCAAAAGTAACCATCACCACCTAGCTACTACCTACAAAAAGAAAAAAAAATCAGTACTTTAAGGGCTTATGTTGGTTCAAAATAAGTTTTATTGTAATGAATATGCTTTACAGCATGGCCTCACTTAGAATTATTCTTCTGAACATTTCAATATTATCTTTTGTGCCACTTCAGTTTCCTGTGCTTCAGATAGAGTAAAATAGTCATAACATGCAACTTTTTATAAATGACTTGAACTATTTTATGAATAAAATTGATCAAAGGTGGCTGATGAATATTTTTTTATCATCCTATATTTAATCTGTAAATGATAAGCATGTAACCTGGCCAACATTTGTCCACTTGTAATTTAGTTACAATATACTTCAGGTTAGTGAAAATATGATATAGGAATCATTGGTAATATTGAGAGAGAATTAAGTTTGACAAATGAATAATAAATGTGTACCAGTTATCCAGTCCACAATGTTTACCTAGAACTATATGTTGCGTCTTCATTGCAAAACAGATCATCATATTAGGTTAATTCAGTAACTGGATGCTCATATTGCATTGCCTGGTCTATCTGTTGGAGATTTAACTTTCAGAGGTGAATTCAAACTGTGTACAGAAGAATAAAAATCATAAACATAATTTTTTTCTAATTTAAGCTACTTTGTGTTCACAGAAAGACCCACTTTCTTGCCAAGTCCTTGTCCCATACTCTCAGTGTGGTATCTGGTGTCTGTGGAGGGAACAATAATAGTGCGTCACATTTATATGGCACACCACAGTTTCACCAAGCGCCTTCTCCGAAGTGTCATGTTGATTTTGCACTGAGGGCCGTGTGTAGAAGTGCTGTTGACTGTAGCTTCGTCATCTAGTCAGAGTACTTTGAAAGGCAGAAAGCTAAAACAGCTAGGGAGGTTTTAAATATTTTCAAAACTACATGAGAAAGAATCTTAGAAGAGTTGGGGTAGTTTTTGAAGTTGGTGTAAGCATCTGAATTAACCTAAAACTGATCCCACACATGCAAATATGAATTTGTCAAGTCTTTCTAGTAGTCTAGAATTTACTTAACACTCAGAAAGTTTGTTTGACTTTCCTATATGAAAAAGACTGTTATCTTCTACTGGCAGTACCTTCTTTATCCGAATGTTCCTTAAGTTCACGTTTCATAAGTAGACGGTCTTCTTTTCATGTGTAATTATTTCAGGGTTTTGGGTCTTAAGATTCTTGAACATAAGTTGTAGCTCATATATAACCTATTTATCACAATTATTTTGTAAAACTTTAAACTGTTATTTGGATTCTTGAACATTTTGAAACAGGCATCTCTAGAAAAAGACTCAAACTCTAATAAATACAAGCTATTAATATAAAGACAGTTATCCAAGAATTGTTACAGAATAATATGTGTGCTTCAAATAGTGTAAAAGTATTTGCATTTGCCATTTTAAAACATATTTTAAGCTGTTTCTCCTTATAAATTTGTGGCTCTGGCCTTTATATTTATCTGCTAGGAGTGTTGATTTTGTGTTTTAATGAGAAAAATTGCAATAAAAATTGGGGGTTTCATGTTAGGTGAGGTTTTTGTGTTTGGGTTTGTTTTTATACAGTAGAGTTTAATCCATGTGTTGCTTTTCTTCAAGTATAGTTTAAAGGAGTACATTTGGAACGTGTTTTTGGAAAAAGCATATTAATGTAGCAGAAGAGACTTCAGTGCACACTTTCGAAGAAAAACAGTTTCTGAGCATTAAGTGGTAAAAGGCAATGATAATTCAAATGATGGTAACAAGCCAATCTGCTAAAAAGAATGCATGTTCTGTGTATCCAACCATTTCACATGAACTAACCTCGTGTAAAAGAATACATTTCCATTCACTGTGCACATACGTGTAATCATTTTTGACTAAAATCAATTGCCATTATCATGCCAACTAAATCTGCAGTAGAATATATTAGTTGCCAGATATTGTGCAAAATATTGTTGAAAATAATGATGATTGAATCCAAGAAAAGAATAGATGCAATTTGTAATAATTAGTTATGCCAAGACACACTCCAGAGAATAAAATTAATGTTAATTTTTGTGTGTAGCATATCTAAATTGCTACGGTAAAACTTATCTATCATGGTAGCAATACGTGGCATTTTATGCTAAAATACATTGAAAGTTAGAGATGGGCCTAATTGTTTTCTTATTTTCCTGAACACGATAGGACCTGATCGTTGCAAAACGAACCCGTGCCTCAATGGAGGCACCTGCTATGCTACTGAAACTTCCTATGTGTGCACCTGTGTGCCGGGATTCACTGGGGACCAGTGTGAACTTGGTAAGATGTCCTTGCCTGAAAGGATGTAGTGCTTTTACAAAAGAGATATTGGTGGGGGAGGGGGTATTTATACTGCTTGAATCAATCAGAGGATTTCAGAGAAATCCATGTGTAGATGAATTATATGTTCAATGAAGTTAAAGCCATAGAGTGACTTAAGTAGATTGTGGGAAATGGGATCATTTGGTTACTGAATTTTGTTAATATACCCAAGACTCAGTAAAGCTTACTCAGGTCAGCTATGTCTTTTTGTGGATTTTACAGATAGGCTTTCTACAAATGTAAAGTTGCATAAATATTAACAAACGTTTTTAGTCTATCCCCCAAATGTGAATATCAATAAATGATCAATTTAAATACAGCAAATTTTCTCAAAGCTATATTTTAAAATGAGGGGGTTTAGCTGTAACATTTTGAGATAACTTGCTCCTCTGCTGTGAAGTGGGAGAAAAGCCTGCCTGGCTGTCCCCAGCAGCCAGCCTCACGCGCCTTCACCTCCAGCAGGTATGGATTGCAGGCCTCCTCCTCTCTTTCTAGTTCCGAAGAATGTAACTGTTCTTACGGAATCAGTTCCTTTTGTTCTCATTCTTATTTAGATTTCCTTTTCTTAAAAAAAAGACTCCATTTTAAAAAATGTATATTTTTATTGATTTCAGAGAGGAAGGGGGAGGGGGAGAGAGAGAGAGAGAGAAAGAAAGAGAGAAAGAAAGAAAGAGAGAAACATCAATGATGAGAAAGAATCATTGATTGGCTGCCTCCTGCACATCCCCCAGTGGGTATTGAGCCCACAACCCAGGCATGTGCCCTTGACCAGAATCAAACCTGGGACCCTTCAGTCCCCAGGCTGATGCTCTATATCCCCTGAGCCAAACCAGCTAGGGCAAGACTCCATTTTAAATTTGCCTAATTGTAGACCTTATCTCTGATGAAAGAAATGATGGACTATAATAACGGCTGAGCGCTTCTTTTAGAGGTACCAGGATGCTTTTCTCTTAACGATTGAGTAAAGAAGGCTCATGGAAATATTGGGATAAAATCCCTAACATTCATATTGAAAGGGTGCTTGTCTCAAAATAATAGCTCAGTAGTTGTGCCTCATGCTCTAGTTGAGTGATTCTGAGACTTCAGTGTGCATCAGAGTCACCTGGAGGGCCGGGCAAATACAGATTGTTGTTACCTCAGCCCCAGTACCTGACTCAGTAGATAAATCTGGGGTGGGCCTGGGGTGTGCATTTCTACCATTCTCAGGTGATTCTGCTGTCGCTGGTCCCAGGACCACACTCTAAGGACAACTGTCCTGGACAGCTGGGATCTATGGAATGTTTGAAAGCCAAGGAGTAAAATTATGACTGTGTCCAAAGAAGGCGACCATCGGCAAAATGGAGGATATACTGGAGAGGGAAGGGCTCAGGGCTTGGGAGGCCTGCCAGGTATTTTCAGTATTTCCGGAGTGAGGAAATCGGAGCATGAGCCAGGATTGGGAGTGGGTAGGCTAGACTAAAACTTGATCCATTTTAGGGCTCATGTGACTCATCTAAAAGAAATGGACACAGTGATCCTCCTCTAAATTGTTGAAGTTTTCTTAGGGTTTCCAGATATTTAGCAAATAAAAATATAAGAAGGTCAGCTAAATTTTAATCTTAGATTTAAAAAAAGAATAATTTTTCACTCTAAGTATGTCCTAAATATAAAATGGGACATACATATACTAAAAGTTTTTTTCTTTTAAATCTGAAATTCAAATTCAATTGGCTATCTTGTATTTTATCTAGCAACCACACAGTAACTAGAATCCTTCGATTGTTTTTTAAAGTTCTTTTGTGGCCTTTTATGATTTTATTTCAGAATTCGATGAATGTCACTCTAACCCCTGTCGCAATGGAGCCACGTGTGTTGACGGCTTTAATACGTTCAGCTGCCTCTGTCTTCCCAGCTATGTTGGTGCACTTTGTGAGCAAGGTAAGAGCTATTGCAACATTTGTAGGATGAACTTTATTCATAGTTCATTTTGAATGTTACTTCTGGAGAGTCTTTTGTCATAATCACTTGGATATTTTTAGTCCTTTGGGCATACTACATAGTCTTTCCTGCAGAGGAAATCCACAGGTTCCTAAGTACTTGAGGTTTCCTCATGTGTCCATAGTGCACAACATCTGAAAAATAGTGTTGACTTGATCGTTTTTATTTCACTGATAGGATGCAATTGCAGACAGGCACACTAAGCAAATTTAAAACCATCTCGCCTACAAAAGAAACATTGTTATATGTATTCCTCCAAAGGACAAATTAGGAATAGATCTTAATCCATGTTCATGGTTTGTTCCAGGTAGTATTGAATTCAATGTTAGTTGCCTTTATTTTCTCCCCCTACGCACTTGAGACTCAAGGGACTTATTTTTCTTAGTCAATCATCTCTGGAGAATGAGTTTATATAGTTGTTAGAACACATTGACTTGGACTTGGCAAACACTACGTAAAAGATATTGTGAATCTGCTCAACAGGGAATTTTCCTACTGAAGAAGCATTTACTTTTTCTGAATGAAAGAAAGGCCTATGTTCACGATGGCTTAAATCTCCTGATCCCTGTAATTTGCATTTTATGGCCCACGTGAGAGTACATGTTAGGTGGTTAATGGTAACATTTCTTAGTCCATGCATCAGAAACAGATCGCATGCTCAGCACGCTAAGCTTTGGAACGCCAATTTCCTCTACTTAAAGTCATACAGTGATTTGGCTTTGACAAAAGTGCCTAGTGCCAAACTTCCCTTCCACCAGACAAAAGGAAAATGTATTAGACTCAGAACACATTGGTCTAGCCCTACATTTTACTTTTTAGCATTAATCCAAACATCGCCACACTTAAAAAACAAAACTAAAAGGAGCCTGTATTAAATTGCCAATCGAAGGGGATGGCTGATGGCTGAGTTTTTAGATTTTTTTCCTTTTCTCTTTATTGCAAAGGAAGAATCTATTTGCTTTAGAATTTTAAAAGGTAAATATGAAAATTGACCAAGCAATTTCTCACTGTTTCCCTTCTTAAATGAAAACAGTGAGAAAAATGCCATTTGTTAAAGAAAACATAGGGTAATATACTCGAGTTATTAAAATTTGTTTAAATGGTTCTTGCTCCACTTATTCCAAATATAAGGAGCAATTAAAAAATCACACTTATTCCAAATACAAGGATCAATTCAAAAATCATTTGTTCAACAGGTGTTTATGGCGCACCTACTCTTGTCAAGGCACTGTTCTGGGCATTGGAGGTAGCGCTCTGAACAACACAAACACAGCCTTGATCTTGGTGACTCAGCATTATTCTTGGCAGAGAATAAAGAGAGATACTACTTGTGGGATACTTTATAGTTTATCAAATGCTTCCAGGTACATCATTTCATTTGGTTGACACAGTATTTCTATGAGTAAATGGGTTAGAAATTGAGGCTCAGAGAGAAACAGGTGTGTATGTGTTAAAGGCCACACAGCTAGAAAATGCGAGTGTGGGGAAAATGAACCTAAGCTGCCTTTGAAAGCCTAGGTTTTTCTCAATATCTTCACCCTTCTAAAGTAACTCTGACAGATAAACATTTTATTTATGTCTGTACCGGATGCGGTAACACATCCTTGAGAGGGACTTTGGGACCAGTTACCTTTTCCATCTCTTTAAAGGAAAATCAGAAAGAAAAGGTTTTGGGTTTTTCTCTCATTTCCGGTGCCACCTAACTTTCAGGTGCGTTCTCTATTTTTTTTTTTTTTACAGTGAGTTAGACTTTCATCCACATGATGAGCAACATTCATCACGGTCTGTTTACCGAATGCAGCTGTGCTCCTGCGATTTATTGGCAGGACTCCGAAGGAGTTTTTCTGCTCTTTTCAGGTTGCCTAAGAGCAAATGTTTTCTTCATTCACAGCAGCATTGTTGTCTAAACAGTTTTCTGTCCAAATTCAGTGATGACTGTGTTGTTTCTTCAGCTGACCTTTCCTGTTCTCTCATTAGTAACATCCCAACTCCCAGTAACTCTGGAATAGGGGCTGCAATTTGGTGGAATTATAACAGATTTGAGATCTGGAAGAGGGTCTTAGAACAGTGGAGAGACACACAGATGGCCCCCACTAAAGTCAGGGACATAGCTTGTCAGTGAGATGTGCCCAAGTGTTGACAACTTAAGACTTGACAGCTATATGTCAGAGGTGCTGAAAACGTTGCCTGCATATCATAAAGCGAATCGATTTTTTGTGTGAGATTGTTTGAATGACAGTTTCATTTTCCGTGACCATGAGCAGGAGTGTCATACCCCGCCCCCCGCCCCCAACCCAATCCCAACATGCACGGGCACAACAAAATCTGGGGCTTTGTAATGCAACCTATGCATTATAGGAGTTTTAAAACATAAGAAGTATTTTCATGCCAGATGTATTCTAAGGCTGTGTCACCCAAAAGAGTTGCCTTTTGAGAAATGAAATGTGTGTTACATTATTTTTAGGTAAGATGGGATAAACAAACAGACTGCTTCTGATACCTACTTTCAGAAGAGTATGATCATGTATTTTTTGAGGGGAGGGGGGTTAAAGGAAATATAGTGGTAATCTATTTTAATGATAAAAGATAAAACCAGACAAAAATCACTTGTGTTAATAGAAGA